AAATATTTACTTTATTATACTAGTATAACACAACTATACAGCAACATTATTCAGCTATTCGTTAGAAAACTTTTAATTGCAGGTACAACCGTCTGTCATTTTCTGAAAAGTACATAAGCTATGGGATTTAATTTTGAAATTTTGTAGTAATGCGGTATATTTATAAAACATTAGTCATTGTAAGTTAGTACTCGTAATAAAAATAAAATTAGTATTAATTTTATGAAAATTATGAAAAAATTATCACCCACATAACAGTAATTTTAATATTTTTAACATTAATTTGTACAACATAACAGTACTTGCTAAATAATCTGTAAAATTATACTGGGTTTAAAAGTCTGAACAGGCTTTTATACAGGGTTTTATAAATAATTAACTGTCATAATTATTAAGTGTTATATTTTAGCCTGAATAATTGAATCTAAATTAACTTCTTTTATGTAATATTCAAAATATAAGACTATTTTGTTTAATCCCTTAATAACCTGACAATTTTTCATCCTATTTGAAACTAATTCTCAAAATTTATGATTTTTAAAATATTTGTCAATCTAAATGACAAACAAAATATTTCACCTGGTCTACATTATAAAAAAAAAGTGAAAATATGTTTCGGAATATGAAAGTTACGTACATATTCCAAAATTAATTCGCAATAAGTAAGGCAAAAATAAACAAAAGAGATTCTTTTCCAACGTAATATTTTATATTGATGCGTTTGCAATGCAATATGTCAACTTGTTGCATTCCATGTTATTCATTGTATATTATTCAAACGTTGTACGCAAATACTACAATAAATGGAATTCAATTTTAATTTATTTACTAAAATATTTTACACGTAAGGCGTACATACATACGAACATATTTGTAAATGTAGTTTGCAAATAAAGGATTAAATTTTAAAATATCATATTGGTACAAAGTTCATTGATTTCGTTATAAAAAAAGAAAATTTGTTAATATTGTAGTTATTTTAATAAATTTGTTTTAAATATTTGCATATTATTGTATAATTTTAGAAATTATTTTTGGATATTTATTTTGACATTAATTTACAAAAGTTGAGTTTTATAAATTTAATGTAATAGGTAACTAAATTTCTGCTAACAATAATAGTCTAATATGAATATTTTATACACTGTTATAACTGTCAGGAGAGCTAAATGTTTCTTGTTATAGGTTAAAGAGTAAATATTTTATTCTATAAATTTTGGGCTGTGCTTCTTGTTAATGTGACCTTTGTAAAGTAACATTAAAGCAAAAACCATTAATTTTCCATTAGTTAGAGAATTTAATTATTAAATTCTGTTGGTAACTCTATACGATCTATATAGTATACAGGAAATTACTTTAATAAAACCTCAATTGAATATTTATATTGCAACATTTTATTTCAAAATGACCATAAATTTCTCATATTTCTGCAATCTTATCTTAGCTGTAATCAATAAAAAAAAAAAATTTTTGTTTTATAATAAAAATAAAGTTTTAAAAGTATGTTTATTTAAAAAAACATTCATATATATAAATTTATACAGAAACAAAGACAACTCTCATATTATCTGGAAAATAAATTTTATAAATTTCACCATATACGAAACTGTTCACAAATATAAAAGTAAACAATAAAATTTTCAATAAAATATTAAAAAAAAAAATAGTAAATAATACCAATGTCAAAACCAAAACCATATGGTGGTTTATTTCATATTTTTCAACATCAAAAAAAATTAAATATAAAAATCTCCTTTTAAAAAATTCACAGAAATATTTGAACGCATATTCCGTACAATATAGATATATTGTACGGAAGACAAGAGAAAATTAATACAAAATTATTATTTACTTAGGGAAAATACATAAAGTATAACAATCATTGTATTACATTATTATTGGTTTTGATTATAATGAATTAAGTTGATCGTATAAGAAAGTTTTCTTATATAGTTACCACTAAACTGTCATATTTAGCTATCTCCATTACCAATTAATATTAATACAAGGATATTATTAGATCCTATTGTATAATAAATGAGAATAAGAAGGTCATAATGTACTTTAATTTCAATTAATAGACGTCATTTCTTTTTAAATTTCATTGAGCTTAAAGAGAAGTCGATGATACAGAAAATATTTTGCAGAAAAATTTGTTTTTTTCTTAAAGACTGTAATAATTTCAATTTAATTATATTAGACTTTTAACATTTAGAATTTTTTAAAATTTACAAACAGCTAATTATAAAAATTAAAATTTACGATATAAAATTAAACTTCGTATTTAAACTTAAATCAAAACATTATTCTTTATAGCTAATTTATTCGAGACTCGATTATTTAATAACTAATGCAATATATTAATTCAATAATAATGCTTTTAATGTTTTCATCTATATATTCTTGAATTTTTTATTTTTTTCCCTTCCAAAATTTTCTAAATTCCAATGCCATTCGATATTTTACATAATTTTGAATGTATATCCTTAAGACATTTTCATGCATATATTCTTAATATATTTTAAATCTACGATAAAGCTCTATTTCAATAAAAAGTATGAGAATAATAAATACGAGAAACAAAATAATGAAGACTCTTATTCTGTGTAATTTCTGAAATATTATACAATGATATTATAATATGAATTTAACAAGGTTATCATATAACTTCATTTGCAACAACAAAAAAAACTCATTATAAATAATACCGTAATGAATACTTTTTCTAAGAAAATTCAAAAATTTAATTTTCCAATTGATTAAATTTTTTTAAATAAATTCAACTCTAATTTATAGAATATACACTTATCTAATTCTAAGAATAAATATATCAAAAGTGCAACTTGTATAATTAAAAATATGGTGACAGAATAAATAAAAATGAATTGACTTGATTATCACGAAATTTTATAAAACTTACAAAAATTTTTTATTTTATTAAATATTTTTTTGAATATTCATTTTTGAATCTTTTATGCTTGTATAATTAAAAAGTTGCATTCTTCTCATTTATCTTTAATTTTACGTGATTAATATAAATGTAGCATAGAAAACCCAAATATCGTATATAGACGGATTTTATTATGCATTGAAAATTCTCAATTTTAATGTTATCCGTGGTAAAAATATTATTAAACGAGAAAAAAAATAGAGTTGACCTTGTCAACTCTGTGATACCCGTACGAATTTGTTATCCTATGTGCGAATAACTAATGTGCCATAACTAAACTTAAAGTTGCCGTATTACCATATTAATTTATGCAAAATTTCAGTACTATGTGTTTTACCAAATTCCGGTTGTGCTAAACTACTATTGAAGTTGTATGGCAGCTACCAGAAAGAGCCAAGAAATTTTAGCGAATTTTGTCAAGCACATCGGCCCTACTAATATATTCACTTGTGTGAAATCTCAATATCACAGCTTTTATAGTTTCTGAGATATAGCCAAATAACTTTTGAAGTTGTATGGCAGGTACCAGAAGGAGCCAAGTAATTTCAACGACTTTTATCAGGCACGTTGGCCCTATAATTATATTCGTTTGTGTGAAATTTCAATACCACAACTTTTATAGTTTCTGAGATATAGCCAAATAACTTTTGAAGTTGTATGGCAGGTACCAGAAGGAGCCAAGTAATTTCAACGACTTTTATCAGACACGTTGGCCCTATTAATATATTCGTTTGTGTGAAACTTCAATACCACAACTTTTATAGTTTCTGAGATATAGCGAAATAAATTTTGAAGTTGTATGGCAGCTACCCGAACCGGTACCCCGATCACGTCCAATTTAAATAGGGTTCTGGCACTTACTCCAATAAATTATTTGTGAAAATTTGGTGAACTTAGGTCAATTAGTTTTTGAGTTATCGTTCGGACGGAATCAACTCAGAATTCGACGCTGATCAAAAACATACACTTGAGTCTATATCTAACACCGTTATTTCTTAGCGTTACAAACGGTAAGGCAAATTTAGTATACCCTTTGAACATACGTTCGTACGGGTATAATGAATACTAATGAAAAATCGCACTCAACAGTTATACAAATTCTAATTTAAAACAATCTCTTGAGACAATTTCTTCTTTATAACTCATTTTTAATAATTATTCTCATATAATGATTAATAATAAATGCGAGGTGAGAAATTCATATAATTACATTGTTATTATTATGTTATTATGACATTTTCAACTCAAAAATTCATATTAAGAAAATTTAATTCACCTTAAACTAGTAAGAAATTTCAATTCATTGCAATTAAAATGAATGCTGCCTGTATTCATTTAATTTTTTGAATTTTGGATTTTTTTTAAGTAAATTTAAATATATTAGATTCGATATCTTGAAAAATTAAGTAAAAATTTTTAATATTAAATTTTAAATATCATTCATTTAAAAATGTAGGGATACATAAAGGGTTAATTCTTCATTATATTTAATATTTTGTTGAAGACTAATAAGTATTTAATTAAAATTTGTTGCTAATATTTGCAAATCCAAAATTTTCTGAAGAAACAAAATAAAATAATTATATACATTAATTTACATGAAAATAACGAAAAGAAATCTTCTGTTTTATAAATAAATCTTTACTTATATTCTTTTACTATTATATTTCAAATACTTAAACCCTACTTACTTTAAACTAATAAATAATAATACAAATATTTTACTATTATTAAAATTAACTTAATAAATATTTGTAATAATAAATTGCAAACAATTATAAAATTAAAAAAAATGAGCCTCCTGATGATATGCAATTTTTTTTGATATTTCAGAAAACTTAATACCAATTAACATTTGTAAATATTGGTAACAGAACGGCTATTTTTCAATTAATTTTCTTTAAAATAAATAACTGAGATAATTTAATATATGGAATTTCGAAAAATAATGTACAAACTATTGATAAAATGTATGTTATAAAAAATATACCAAAAAATTCTACATAAATATTAAATAAATTAAAATTATATGGTTTCTCATTATTTCCACGATATATATAAATAACAATTGGTTCTAATAAATACATCATATATGTTAATTTTGATAAATGTATAAATATATAATGTGATATAAATTTACCAATTTTACCAGCTTTACCAATATAATTTAAATAGATTATCATACCGACAATAATTTGTACAAATAAAAATCTTACTAATGAATTAGCTAGACTATAAATTACTTGTGGTATAAAATCACGAAATATCATACCAAAACTAAAAAGTGATAATATTATAAATGTACAGATTAACCAAATTTCTGATGAAAATGTCTGTAATACAAAAAAAAATATTTTATTTAATATTTAAAAGGTCTACAATTTCGAATATATATATTAAAATAAAATAGGTACATACCGGCAAAATTTTTTTACATTTATCAGAATTTAAAACAATTCCGCTAAATATACCACTTAAATATGGAATTATTCTTGTCAATGGATTTATATAAAGTATATTTTCGGTTTTCTTAAAATTTTCCAAATAAAATTTATAATTCTCTTTTGAACTTATATGAAACGTGTATACAATCGAAACAATTAATAATACAATATATGATAATGTGATCATAAATTTCCGACCTCTACAACATAAAAATACGATTTGAAAAAAAAAAATAATAAATAAACAAAAAAAAATCATATTATGTAAAAGAAAAAAAAATAAACTCCTTCGATTTTTTTTTTTCTTTATTTAACTTACTTTGCATATATGAATAAACCAAACAATGTTAAAATGTAATATTGCATATCTGCTGAAAGATACCATACCCAACAGGCACACATGTCATCATTTGAAAAATATCCTTGAATATATAATAGATTACGCCACCAGAAGTCACTGAAATAAAAAATAATGTATAAAATTAAAAAAAAAAACCAAAAAAAAAAAGAAAATGGAGAAGAAAGGATACTTTTAAAAATAATAAAGTGACAAGCCATGGAATTGATTTTAATTTTATGATCTTGATATCAAATAACAATACCAAGAATATAAGTAGAATACATTTGTAGATATAAGAAAAATAGGAGTCTATACTTAGAATAAAAAATAATATTATACAATGTTGTATTGGAGAAAGATTCAGAATTCATCTGTATTAAAGACAATTCACTAAAGCTAATTATATTATTATTAAATTTTAAATATTACATCCTACTACTCACCTCTTACAATATAAATCCTGTTCCTCCGAAATATAATATTGTGAATTCTCTTTCAAATATAATGCTGTTAAATGACTTAAACCCATTGTTAATAAAAGTCCTGGTGTTAATCTTATATAACGATTTAATAATAATCTCAAAAATTTTATACTATTTTTTATAAATCCATTTTCATTTATTTCCAATATTTGCTTTTCATTTTGTAGAAAATTATAAACTAAAATCATTGCACCAATATAAAAGAAAATATCAACAAAGAATGGCATTAAAAAAAATATTTGACCATATAATTTATATGAAGCTACAATCATCTCGGAACCATTTAATGTAAAATATGTTGAAAAATAAATAAGATGACCACCCATAATTAGAATACATGCAATAAATCGAATTGAATCAATACCAATTAAATTATTTGTTGAACATTTAGTTGATATTAATTGTTTAAAATTGGAATTTAAATTAAAACAATTCAAAATTTTATTTAATAAGGAATTCTCCTCTGTTATATGAAAAATATTTAAGAATCCTATAATAAGTATATTTATAAATAAAATATAAAATATTATTTTTGATTCTGATCTATTCAGAAAATTTTGTAATGTTGGTTTTCTTGTCTCAACTACTTTCAATTCTAAATTATAAATTTTTTGAATATTCAATTTTTTTGATATAAAATATTCCCGTGCATATTTTTGAATTTCATCTTTTGAACAAGAACTTGGCATACATAATCCAATATGTATTAATGGCTGAAAATAAAAACAAATTATTATTTTAATAAATTTTTCAATACTTCAATTAATAAATTTTATAAAATTTGAAACAATAAATTTAGACTGAAACGTACGTATGTGCACATATATGTGCATCTATACCGGGGGTGGTCAAACTGCAGCTCAAGAGCCATATGGCGCTATTTGAAAAATTTGTATAATACAACGTTATGAAAAATTTCATTTGTGTACAATTAAGAGAAAAAATACCCATTAAAAACTGCCTAAATGAAAATAAATAGTCGCGTAATTGTTTGTAATCGATTGACTCAAGACCTATTTTGAATTTGTTAACTCTCATTACAATGTAAAGTTGTTATTAAACTTTGAAGTAAATAATTTGTACAACTCTTGCCACGGATAAAATTTGTTATCTAGAATTTTAAATCACTTAACTTTTTAATACTGTTTTGCGGCCCTCAAAAAACTCTGAATTTTGAAAAACATTTTGGACTGAGGAGCTTGATGCGCAGCCATCCCTGGTATATTTACGTACTTTGCTGCCATTCTTACAAAAATATTGACGTCATAATACAAACAATCAAGTACAACTACCGAATTTTATTTACAGATTTCGACTACAATTTTTTTTTAACAAATACCATAGCATTTTTATGTAAAATTTTTTTTTTGTTAAATAGCATTGAAATTTGTAAATTAAATAAAAAAAACAACTGATTTTCTCCAGAAATTCTTTAACATTTTTTTTAATTTTGCGCTCAATAGCCAAAAAAAAAACTCGCCAATTATGTTTTTGAACCCTATAATATTTGTTAGCATCCAGGATATTTGATTTCAATAAGATTTTCATAAAATTTTTTACATTTAACTTGAATTTATTAAATGTCTCATTGTTAAATTCAAATTATAAAGGGTATGTACTTCAATGTATTGAGCCAAAAGACTCGAAAATCATGAAGAAAAAAAAATTCTTTTAATTGATAATAAATGGGATAGAATAAAAGATAAAAGCAGAAGAAAAAATAATTCACGCAGAAAATTATTCTTAGACAACTCTTTTTTTTTGTTTTTTTCCCAATGTGAAAACAAAGTCTAAAAAGGTCAAGATACAGGTGAAATAATTAATTAACTTGGAAAATTCAATAATGATTAATAAACAATAAACAATTAAAAAAAAGTAATCGAACTGTGTTGTTACGGAAACCTTGCATATTTTTCCTTGCCTTATAATTAAATTCTAAAAAAAAAAAAGTCGGAAACTTTTTTTGAACTGAAAAAACTTTTGTTTTCTGTTCTTTTAATAAACCTACTCGATTTTTCTATATGCACAAATTAAACAAAAAAAAAATATTTAATATACTCACTGTATGCCTTCCAAATTGTGTAAATTGTTGATCATCAGTATAATTTGCAAATATAACAACATATTCCATTGGAAATTTAGATTTTTCACTTGATAATTTTGAATTTTTCGGGTTTATTGCATTAATACGAAATTCATTATTCAATCGTTCACATTCTGTTCTTGAACCAACCCAAAAATTTTGTCCATAAATAAATGATGATGTTGGATTTCCAGAAGCATCCAAAACTGTAAATTTAGTAAGTAGAAAAAAACTATTAAATCAATTGATTAATTATTATATTTATTTCCCACACTGGTAGTGTTAAAGGTAATAGATTTGGTATGGGAAACCGTTCAGAGTTGATCCGCAGTAGAGAGAGTCTCTGGATGGTTACGTCGACATTACAAGAAAGCTGCGAAAGATCGATCCCCACAAAATATTCGAATTTGTCAGAAAGATAGATCTCCAAGGACGTCTTGTACGTGATAGTTGGAAGAAAGGTTGATAGTTGTACGAGACCAAAAATAATTAAATTAGCCCTACCAATTATGGGCAGTCTATTCTTAAGTATCATGTGTAATATTTTACCAAAGACTTTTGAGGTATGAAGATGAATAAAATCACAAAAAAATCATGATTACAAGAGAACTATATAGTAGTTTTTGTAATCAATGTAGAAAAACTTCTAATCAGTAAAAAATTTTTTAAGAAATTGTAAATTCTTAAATCGAAATATGCGATCGAAATATAAAAAACTTGAGAATAAATTTAAAATTCTATTAGAATTTTTAAATTGGCTCATTCGGCCCATACTGTACAAATAAAGTTAATAAACTTACCTTTTAATGCCCATAATTCATTCCTGTTTAAAGCTTTTATTAACATTTTACTTTCTTTTAAGCAACGATCATCTTCATTATTAAAATTTATTCTAGAATCAGTTACCACTTTTAATACACCATAAACAATATAATTTTCAGCGAAATTTTGCCGTGATTTCAAATAATTTTTACTATTTAAATTAATGCTTGTTTTATTAACATGAAAAGTATTATTCGAAAGTATAAAAACCGGTAAGCCGATTATCGTAAACAAAAATATTTGAAGAAAATTCTTCAACATTCTTTTGCGTTTCTATTTTCTACCGTTTCCGTATGCTTTAACCAAAAAAAAAATTTTTTATGATTAAAAAAATTTTGCTTCTTCTTCTTTTCTACTGTAACTTCTCTTGACTAAAGATAGACATAAAATGGTAGATTCTTCGATTTTCTCTAAAATTTCGAAATAATCAAAAATAAATTTTTAAGTTCATCTTAGCGTTTTGTTGGTCATATGACGGTTGAAAAGTGAAATCTTCTACGTTTCATTTGATTTTTTTATGTTTTTTGTTTTCTGGTTCAATAGGTTTTTTTAATTTTTAATATTTTTTAACTTATATGTACGAGTAATCGAAGATGAAAATTAACATTTCCTCATATAAGTTAAGAAGTGGAAGAAGAAAACAAAATGAGTTTTGAAAAGTTGTAATCAATCAATGAAAACAAAAATCATAATTACGACACTCATAACTGTCAAGAGATTTGTTTACTAGGGCTGATACCAATAAATAGAGATACCAATAAACAGAGGTTCAACAAAAGAATAATCCTAATTCGTTAAAATATTTTGGGAATAAAAAGAGATTTTTTAATATTGTAGTACGGTAATTCAGAATTTGTATAAGATGGCTAATACAGATTTAAAAGTTATAAAACACACTAAAATAGTGAATTAAAATTTAATATTGCACCTCTGCTTTTTTGCGCCTCGTTTGTTTTTTTCCTACCGTAACTATTTGAAACTAAATAAGGCTTTGTAAAATTGTTGAAAATCCAATGAACTTCTCAACACGCTTGGTAATATTACAAAACAAAGGCAAAGAAAGCAAATTATTTGTTTATAAAGTGTAATTACTAATTAATGATTAAAAAGACAAATATTACTTAATAAATAAATATTAAAAGCATTTTAAAGACTTTGCCTTAATTTATTTGTTCATTTTATCTTCTCAATCACATATCAAAGACCTAATATAAAATAATAATTAAACTAAATAAAGTAAATTTTATATTCAAATACAGCAATCCATCGTGTAAAGTTGCTCTGGTACAGAAAAATTTGTCTCTAAAATTTTTATTCTAAATAACTCAATCTAAGTCTTCGCTAATTTACTCATTCTAAGGCTGAAAGCAGTTCTTCTTTTATAAAAAACCCAAAATTCAATGGATAATTTTTTGTATATAACAATAAACTCGGTATGGATTTCGCTTTGTGCCATTTTTCTTAATGTCGTACATTTTCGGTCCCAAAAACGATATAAACCGAGGTATTACTGTATATTGTAATTTTTTAAAAACGCCATGTTGGCATTGCGATTATTTTGCCGAAAAAAAAAGTGAACTGAGAAAATATCAACATTATTACCAAACCCATACCTTATTATCTCAATTACATTTTCAAGCCAATGTAAACAATTTTGAACTTTCGCCGTAAAAAATATACACAAGTAATAAAATTTAACCTCAATTTAATTTTATTGCAATGAAAAAAAACTTCATTCAGCGTTCGAACCCTCTTTACATTTAGCGTTCAAATGCAGTAAAGTTCATAAATAGCCCAACAAATGCATATTTCTTATTTTGGTAACATTTTATTTTAAATATCATTCTGAAAAAGTGTTAAAAAAATCATTGCTCTCGCGTAATTTGTATATTTTTTGCAATTCTTGTAATTTACATGATTTTTGACAATTGTATGTCAGACAATAAGGACAGCTTTCGTCTATAATTTGAACTAAAAGATTCATTCTTGATTCTAAAATCCGTTGAAAATTTCCAAATACAAATTTTATTCATATCATATTTATTCAGTAACATAATAGACTTTATAATTGTAAATGTGATGTCACTGAAATGTCATAAATTACTAAGAAAACAAAAGCTTCATCCTGGTAAATAAATGTACGCATATTATGTAAACCTATTCAAAATTAAAATCCTTTTATTAACATTTTAATAATCTAATAAACGATTTAAGAACAAATCAAATAAAATATGCTTTATTAGTAATAATTGATAATAAAACCGAGAATGAAAGCCATTTGCTTTTAAATCATAAATTGACTCTTGTTTTATTATCACAAAAACATTGATATTATAAAAACATAGTAAACTCACTTGCATATTAATTGACTTGTCTACTAAAGCAAAATATTTGAGTGAATTCGAAATATCTTAAAAAGAATAAGTTAAAAAACAAATTACATTGAAGTTGAATCTAGCAATAAAATTTTCGCAAAAAGAACTGGCTTTCGAGCACATTTTTGAGTAAGCTCTTGCAATTCGCAGTCATTCTGTTCAATATTCTTTTTATTTCCTTATTCAATGTTGAATATTTATATTTAGCTAGGCCTCTTCAAAGCTCATAAACTTAAAGGTTTATGAACTTAAAATTTCCTAAAATATTTGAACATCAATAAGTCCCTTCAGTTCAAAGCAGTGCAACCTTTCCGCTCGTTTTGCACGAATAAAGCGCTGCTTTTCTCGATATAATAAAATAAACTTAAACTGACTACGCAGAATTCAATGATTTCACATTACAAATTGAATTGCTGCAATTGAAATTTATAGACAAACAAATTATCTCCTTGGGGGTGCCATAATAAATTTTATGTATATATAACTATAGCAATCAAAAAAATCTATTTCTCTTAATCTTATGGCAATTATTTTCCTTTCTTAATTAACTTTAACGTTTTACAAATCTTATTGTACCCCCATTATACTAAAATGACGACAATTAAATAATATAATGACTTCTTTATTGAAATGATCATTACATTATTACTTATACTAAATATTTAATTATAATATCATAATTTCAATTAATTCCTATTATTGTACATAGTACTTATATGCAGTTAGAAATATGTATAACAATTGATGAATTGAGCATTTATAATATTATGTTTAACTTGGAAAATAATAAAATACTATAATGTTATACGTTCTAATAAAATATAACAAAGTCTATTGTAAAAGTCTATAGGCGGCAAAGTCTATCATATAAATTTCAACAACCTTATATACATAGGTACTATGCTTATTAAAATTTAAGAATGCTTTCTAATTAGTTTTTAAGTACGAGATTGTAATTTATAAATGGAATTTATATGGATATAAAATCGAAAATAATTGCAGTTTTCAATTAAAACCAATTATAAAAATGATATTTAAAATATCGAAAACTAGAATTATTTTTTCATCAACATTAAATTAATTAAGAAAAATTTATTTGCAATTATTTCTACATACAATGTTTTAAAGGAGCCAATTTTAGGAATTAGTCACATTCAAAGAAAAACAATAAATCTAGAAAAAGATTTAATTCTTAACTTATTTTGTCTCATAAAAATTGCAATTTATACCTTCGATGAATTTGATAACTAAAACCTAAGATGAAATAATATTCAATTTTGAGCTCATCCGCTCTTCAATTAGTGAGCATCTATCGTTCAAAACTACAAACACAAAATTCCCTATCACGTTCACTATCAAAAACAAAAGAATTGACAATCTATTTTGAGCAAATGGTCGGAAATAATATGGATGTAAATGTAAATCAGATTTTAGATTTGACATTTAATTTGAATATTTTAATAAGTACTAAGCTTAACTTTTATTCATTACAGTTTTTAATCTCGCATTCTTAAAAGAAAAATTTCTTCAATTGAATGTAATGAAAACCTTACATTCAGGTACATAAAGAGTGCGAATTTGACAATATTAAATGTATTGTTAACGTAATATTATGCCAACAAGTATGCAATCTACGATAAGCTAGATTTCAAATATTTTTCAAATATTTTTTATTGTTCATAAAAACCTTTTCTCTTGTGTCTAATAAATAAATAAAATAAATGAATCTAAAATTCACTTAAAATGGTAATGATTTAACTGACATTTTACATTTTAACTCTGCTAATTATAACGTAAATAAACAATAACCCGAAAACAACAAAGTTTTTAACCCTTTAAGATTTCTTGTATAATACCAAAAATTTCTCAAATTCAATTTTTTTCAAAACCTTCGATTATTTGTTGATCATTTCAATGTAAAGCGAAAACTTTTTATTCATTCTCCGTCTTTGAAAAACTTGTAAACACTGTACAGGTGGAAAATCATCAATTCTAGAGTAAAGTTGTAATTTTTTTTCTTTTAGATTTTTCTTTCTTTTTTTTTTGTTTCTTTTGGAAATAAATAGAAAAAAAATTATTTCAGATCACCATTGATTCATAGGAATTTTTAAATATAATAAATAAAATTTAGTAAAAAATGTCAAAACGTATTATGTACGTGAAATCACGTTATAGAGCATATTTTTATCTTACTGTTGATCCGCAGCGAGAACCGTTGCTAACATCTTAATATGCTGTAAGGAAATATATTAATTTTTCTAAACTTATTTCTGTCTGAAAATTAATTTATTTTGTTAAGAATGGTTTGGGCAAATATTGTACTTCATAGCTACATAGGGAAAAATTAATTTATTAAGTTTAAGTATTAAGAATTTGGTTGTTCATTATAAGAATTTAAAAACCCTCCGTCAGAGAGAAGATAATTGAAAACATTAAACAATTTTACGCGTCTAAAACGAATTGCCTTAAAGTTATTAAATATTCCAATATCCCCAATCTAATTCAACGCATTCTGTAAATGGAACATTATTTCTTATGAACGACTTATTATAAAAGAGGAAAAACACTACCCTGAAATTTAAGTATCCAAGATTTTCGAATTAACGTTCGAATAAAGCCATCTATCGGAATAAATTTCCGTAACATCTTCTGTGAATGTTTTATGAAAGGGTGTTTTATATTTACTCTTTGATCTTTTATATTTACTCTTGAAGGAGCGTTATAATATTTTAGCATATTATTCGATTTCAAGTATTGATGCTTAGAGTTGTATTCTTAATTTTAAAAATTTTTTCATGTTTGTTTCATTATTTTTTTTTCTTGTTTTTTGATTTTTTAAATATTATAGCATGTTTCAATTATTTAATTTTTTTTTATATATACATACATACATACAAATTCTTAATAGTCTGGGCCGGTAATAGAGAAATATTTATGCAAATATTGATGTAATGATGTTTGTATTTAATATATAAGAAAATTTTAAGCTAAGATGTTTGACGTTTGTTTTTTTTTATATTATTTTATAAGTACTCGTTAAATTTGCTATACATATAACAAATTCGCATGTATGAAAATAAAATCTACATACGAACAAGCGTTTACAAAGCCGCCACATATCATTATTTAAGTGCATGCATCCATTTTTTATTATTATTATATTATATTATTTATTCATATATATATTTTATTTTTATTTTTGTGTTTTTTTTTATTTCAGATCGAAAATTCCAATAAAATATTATGGAAATATTATTAACAGCGCGCTACGGTTAATAAATGCTCGTATTTACTTAAAAAGAGGAATATTTATGTTTTAGTTGTGATTTGAACGTGGTGTGAATTTATTCAAATTACTTATATGTATAATTTTTTTTTCAATTTTAATTTTATTGAAACAGAGAAAATTAATCAAAAATTTAGTTATTAACAGAATTATAAATATTTTGTTATATAAAAAAATAAACGAAGAAATTATTGTCGTGAGTGATTAAAATTAATTAGGGAAATATTAACAATATGAACAATTTGTTGATGTGTTCATAACATAAAAAAAAACAGAAAAAAAATTGAATAAATATTAGAATTACATCAGAAATTAAAATCCCGGTTATGTAATTAATAAATGAGCTAATTTTAATTTCAAAAATTTTTTATTTGCATATGTCAGCGTTTTATAACACAAGTGAAATTTTAAAATATTGAATTTTTGAAGTATACACGGCTCAAGCACAATACACAAGCTCAAATAGCAATCGAATGGAAAAATTTACAAAAAAAATTATTTAATTGCATCATAGGGAAAGAAGAGACTTAAAAAATGATGAGGAAATTTTATGATTTTCATAATTGTGAATATAATAATAGCAATTAACCTATTAAAAGTTGTCAAATATTTAAGAAGAGTGCATAATTAATTCATTCAATATCCTAGATTTTGTAATCTTTTCAATGTCATCTTTTATCCATCTTTTGTTTGTTATTTAAAATATGTTTCAGATTCATAGATTTTTCTTTCATTCGATGAAATAAATCAACAAACACATTATTTTGATTTTTATATTGTCTTGGAAAGAACCTCTGATAGGAATTTCCCCGATCAACTATGTACATATGTACATGCGGGCATATCATCGTCATTACGTGCTTAATCCTATGAAGTTTTGCTTTAAATCAAATCAAATACCTTAAATCGATTTATAAAAGATGAATATTTTCTTGCATACTTTAAGGTTGTCTCTCCTATTCTGGCCGGAAGAACGCTTTTTGATTTTGAGATGTCTATATAATTAAATCTTGAAGTGTTTTGTGATTTCTTATTAAAGTTATATTGTAACTAACAGGGTGTATCAAAAATAAATTACATTTCTGATGATGATTGCAAAATTCAGAAAAGCATGTTGTTGAGTCATTAGAATTTTTATAATTTTCTTTGCAAAATTCGTTTCAAGAATCTTCATTTTCTACAACTTCAATCTCTAAAATGATAATTTATTAATTTCTTTACGTCTTACATAAAATAATGTATTGCAATAATGCAAAATTAAATATTGATTTATATGACGTCAGCCATACATGTATAAATATATATAAAACACATAATATTATAGAAATATCGTAGATGAAATTTTTAAAGTGTAATACATTTTAATAATTACGTACATCTACATTAATATATACGAATATTATTGAAATTACACAAATAAATGAAATTCATCAACATTCCAAAAATTTTCTTCCTCTCTTATGTACAATTTTGTATGCGCTTAACACGTTATATGTATACATATTTTAAAAATTGAAAACTCGTTAGGTGATTTTCTTTTTTGTATTTTTAATTTATTATTGAAACTTAATCAATATGTTATATATGTAAGTACACTTATAGGAAATTTTAAATACATTAGTGTAATTAAGTAAATTTTATACTAACTCACAATTCACAATTAGTTCCACTTGGTTTGTAACCAAAATTTTTTTTTCTATCTTTTTAATGATTTTTATTCTTTATCCCGAAAAATTTGTGTATGCCATTTATTGCGGTTGCACTTCATGGAACTAATACAATACAAGGCAATAAAGGAATATTATTTTATGGTGTACCTACAAGTAATATGAACAATATTTTATAATTTTTACAACAATTACTTTCAAAATTTTTATGACGTATATAAAAATGAACGATGTGTAAAACACGTATTTCCTGAGTACATATAAAATCGATTTATTTATGTACTTACATAAAAGCTATATAATAATTACTTTAACAAAATTTTTTATTACCGGATCTAAAATGTCTAAATTGTGCCACATTTTATTAATATGATTAATTCATTAACACAATATACGTCAACAATGTAATATCAAATGAATAAAATTATATTAATGAACTCATCTGTCATTGAAAATTTTCTTTCATAATATTTTAAAGTATGGAGTAGGTATTGAAAGTAATAGATCTTAAGTAATTTAATTTAGCAGATCTTAAGTAAATAATTATTATCATGTTATTAGAAAAATATCATACGATAATAATTATAATTATAATTATTTGCTCTCACTTGAATTAATAATTACCAACAGCACTGCACACAATAAGGGAGGTTATGTGATGGCACCAAATTTCCGATGTTAAGTATTCAATGAAAACGCGCTTGTCCATGGTGGAAACCGTAAATAAACTATTTTTTTCCTCATATAAATTTAAATTTTTGTGAGAGTTATAATAAAGTAAGGTAATTAAAAAAACAATTACAAATATAGTAAAATTCTCTTACCAAATATTTTGTTAGAAAACTTTAATACAAGTACAACACTGTATATCAGAAATAAGAAGAGAGTTATGCAGTTAGAAAGTCAAAAAAATCCATTTATGGGAAGAGTTTCATATATTCTTATAACCAATTTACAGGTTGTGAGATATAACAGTGACATTTTTGTGTTTCAGCAAATATTTGAAGTCCGCAATTTTCAATCACAAGTATGATGGATATCTGAGAAACCCTCACTACCATTTCTGTGTTTTTTAGATCTAAACTCCAATATCCTTATGAAAATAAATCTCTTGTAAAGAAAGTTTTAGATCATATTAATAAAATATAAAAGAAAAATTTAGATGCAACATCTTATGCACAAGTCCATCATGTGTAATAGAGTCAAAAGTTTTCTCAACTTCTCTATTGTTAATTGTTAATTAAATGATTATTAAATTATTATTCTGTTAATTAAATGAATATTTTACTTAAGACTTGCCGCTTTGTTCTAAAAATGGTGTCAAATTAAAAATTAAATTTTCTCTTCTAAATTATTTCTAATATTGTATAAATAATTATTTTTTATTATAATATTTTAAAAATTTATTAAAATCAATCTATTTCATGAACAAAAATCTATTACACCAACTTGAAATTTCAAAAACAAAAATCTCAATAATTTTTTCTTATTAATGATTCGATAACCTTGATTTAGGTTGAACGAACTTTACCAATCGATAATATATAAAAATACCATCACAGGTCATTTCTATTGAGTTGTTGTACATACATATACATACATTATATGAAAGAAACTATTGTATATACTCGCTTTTGAAAACAAACATAAAAAAATCAAATTTATTAATATTACATAAACTGCACAACTACCTTTTGTATAGTCATATTTTTTTTAATTTTTATTGAAAATCACAAATCAATTCATTTTACTAAAGATTTATATTACTACTTTTATATATTAAAATATGTTTGTATATGTTAGTATTACAAAATAAGAAATTCTTCATGCAAAAACAAAAAAAAAAAACAAAAATAAAAATACCAAATTAGTTGCATTTTTAGTTATGCATAACTCTTTTTCATTTGTAAGAGGTTACCAATTTCAAATACCAAACCACTCATCTTACAGCTTGTTATAACCGCAACTATCATGTTTTGTTTTTTCAAATTAATAAAATTTGTGTAGGTGAAATTGGAGATTTTTGTGCATTAAAAAAAAAAACAGTTCGTTATAGTATATAATTATCAATTACGTTATGTATAAGAATATTTTGATGTCGACAATCGGCAAACTCAATTTCGGGAAACAATAAATTAATTTATTTAAAGCTCTGAATTCTTGCAAGGATAATGCTTGTCTAATATTTTAGATATGCTGTCAATTGCCCAATTTATAATAACGACATTTATGAGGTGAACTATATAAAGAGTTTATACTGCTTCTGTTGACAAATGACCGAAAATTTTCAAATAGTATTAAAAATCGCCTTTTAAATTGCCAGAATCGTTAAATATAAAACGCTGGTCATTTTCATGTATAACACTATTAAATGGTCATGGTGAACTTATAAAAATCAATCATATGTAGCATAAACATATAACCTGCCCCTATATCTAAGTACGTACATATACAAAAATATCATAACAGTTAAAAGTTCACAATCAAAACTTTGTTTTTCAATGAAATCATATTTTTAAGTTCACAATAATATATTATAGTCATTTAATTTAAAAATGAGCTCATTGAACTCATCTCATTTGTATTTATGTATACATACATATATTGAAATTTATTTTTAAAGAAATAAAAATTTACTAGCTACATACATATGCTCGCGTAAACATAATTTTGAAATGAAAGCAAAATTTTGTTTTCTTCTTCTTTCTTTAAATTGTGTTTGTGCTAAATTTAATTAAAAATGTTTGGAGTAATTTATAAAATAAAAGAGGAAAAAAAATTATTAAAAGCTTTAAAAGAGAAAGAAAAAACTAAACAACAGCTTATTCGTGAATTTGTATATGTATGTATAGTACTATGTTTTTTGAACACAAACATACCAACATATTCTAATAACGTGTTATTAATTGTCATTTTCTTCAGCATTTTACGTTTTTAGCACAATGAACTTCAGATGGCCGCGTGAACTACATATACATTAACAATAAATAAAATATGGGAAATAAGTGAGACAAAAAAAAATAAATATAAAGAGATTAAAAACAAAAACAACGGACACAAAAGCATATAGTTAACAATAATAATACAAACAAAGTCAAGCGACGCATAGCACAATTTCTTAAACATATTTATAATCAAAAGGAAAAAATATTCATAGTAATACCATACTACTATCGTAACATTTTAAAACAATAAAAGCATAACGTCAAAAATACCCAGTAAGCATGAAAATTGTTAGCATAAACAAGTTTGACATTTTGTCTACCTAATAAAATACGTATCAGCAAAACTAAGCACATATACTTCTTTTAACATTTAATTATTTTTTTTATTAATACCCCTCCGCCCAATTCAGAAATTCGGACATGTCATTAGTCATTAAATCTTTGTTTAAAGCCAAAATTCATTTTGTTCGTTACAATAATTTATTACATGTAGCTGTGAATGTAAACAACAGCCAAGTAATTATATATCAATCAAAATATTTCTTTAATTTGACAAAACAATTTTAATAACATCTAAACGACATTACAACCATTCTAAACAACCATTCTAAACGACAAATTCTAAGAGTTGAGTTTCCAATTTTAGAAACTTATGTTACCTAGAAAATGTAGACCCCAATTATTGCTGCACATTGCTATTACGTACTACTGCAAACGAATATCGATAATTTTCCTTATTTTGTTACCTGGGTAAGATGCAATTGTATTAAACAATCAAAATTTTATTTTGAGGATAAAAAAAAAAAAGCAAATAAAATTAAAATAAAAATTTAAAATCTGGAAATTAAATAAAATTATAAATTAAGAAAACAAAAACAATTTTAGAAGAGAGAAAATTTTATTTTTCATTTGTGCTAATGTGTGAGATCCCGCAAATAAGTATACAATAATTTAAATTAGAGAGTTTTAAAATAGACAATAGAAAAAGTATAGCTAGTAGAAATTTAAGTTGTAAAGAAAAGTAAAATAGTAATTTAATGAAAGCTGACTTCTATATTAAAAACCCGGTATATAAAATAATTTCCATTACAATCACTTTTATCATCATCAATCATTATCATTATCACCATTAATCAATAGCATGAGTACAAAATACAAGTATCATCAATAATGTTTTTTAATTTTTCTTTTTTATAATCTTTCTTACTCTTTCTCTTTGCATTGTTTTTATTTCTTTATTTTTGTTTTTCTTTTCTGCATACCTGTAAAACAACTAATATTATTAATGTGTATATGTATAAATGTGCATAGGTATTTTCCTTCTACCTATGGGGTAATTCTATGGGATACTGTTCGGGTATAACTAGCTTCGTTCCGTTTGAAAAAAAAATTGCGTTTTAAAACGAATTTTTTTATTATTTTTCAAACTCAACTATATTAAATGAAAAATCCACTGAACAGTTGAAATGATTAAAACTTAACATTAGACCAAGGAAAATTTTATTGAAGAATGGTCATTGTCATTTTATTATATTTACGTTAGGTAGTAATTTTATAGTAATTTCATAGTAATGAATTATCTTGTTAATCACTTCAAATCTCTCTCTCTTCTTCCTATACTCTTTTCTTATACTAGCATTTTAAATAATTTTATTTAATACAAATTTATTATCAATCGCCTGTAACTAGGCAATTTATCAAAAATGTTCAAATCGAACTCAAATCGAACCAAACGTACAAAGAATTTGAATCTTGAATTTTCCTTTAAAAAAAAAAACACTTGAGCTTCGAGAAAATTTCTTTTATTATTTTAATAAAAACAAAAACTAAGTAAAAAAAAAGCAACAAAACTATAAAAGAAAATAAAATGTTTTTTTTTTTCTACTACACTTCACTCTCTTTTGACTTTTTTTATTGTTATTTTTCTTTCTCTCAAAGTTCGAGAAATCATCATCGTATTCAAAAGAGAAGTATTTTATGTTTTCAATCTTAGCCTATCTATTTATGCATATGGAGGTTTAAAAAAATCTTAAAAACACCGTTTGTTTTCTTTTTTTTTATTTATATAAAAAAAATTAAAAATAAAAAAAAAACAAAACAATTTTACATATGAAAAAAAATAAAATAGAAAGAACTACAACAGACAAATTATTGAAGTGAAATTGAAAAATCGAAGTGAAGAACATAAAAAAAACAACAAACAAACAACAGCTTAGTAAAAGTGATTAAAAAAAATAAAAATAAATAATAAAATTAGAGTAAATAAAAAAAAATCAAATAATATTAAAAAAATAAAAAACCTCATAAAACGAAAAGATTGCTAAAAAACAGCTGATTTAAAAAATTTAATACTCAAAAAAAAACCAAAAAAAGCCAAACTCTACAGACTTCGAGAAGATTTTTTTTTTTTTGATAAAAATATAAAATTTATATCTAAATAAAATTTTGAAAATGGCAAATCAATGCAGAAGTTGTGGTCGTGATTTAAATAATAATTACACGCCATATTCGAATGGTTATCCAAATGCAAATTCAACAAATAATGATCGTAATTCAGCAAATTTATATAATACAAGATCTACTACAGCAACGACAACACCAACTGGAAATGGTAAATAATTCCTTTTGGATTTTTTTTACTTATTTTCTCAATATTTTCTCTTGTATTTTTTGATGACGAAGAAAATTCATAATTATTATGTTAAAATTTCATTATTGAATCATTTGTTTCGTAATTATTTCTAGAATTACAATAATTTTTATTGAAAGTTTTATCAAATGTGCTAAATACGGAATTTATTTTTTAAAATATAAATTATTATTTTAATTAAATATGTATGTTATGTATAGAAATTACCAAAATTTGTTGCCTTAATTCAATAAATTAAATTTTGTTTGTAATAATTTAATAAAAAAAAATCTAATTGTATTAATATAATAAAGTCCATCTATTGAGCATACCAATAAACAAAAAAAGTTTATACTCTATATAATACTCTAAAACAAGGTTTTCACGCCTCATGCAGTTTCCGAAATGTTCGCCTTTCCCCCTTTCAAAGCAATGAATATTAATCAAACATTGCACATGGCGTAAAATAAATCACATTCTTGTAACTTTATAATGCTGAATGCAAGATTTGTCATAGAATTATGGTAATAGAAGCCTGGAATTAAGATTTCATCTTTTTATTCGACAAATATTTGTACATAGGCTTTGTTTGTAGATGTTATCAAGCTAATTTCAATAAAAAATTTTTAAAACCACGTAATGGAAAAAATTTAAAGAAATATTAAAAATTTATTTTTTTTTTAGTTGTCAATAGCTCCCGTACTTTCCTGCGCCTATTGCAAATGTTTACTTTACATAAATGAGAGATCCGGCGCTGACTCTACATAAAAACAAAATTTTAAAAATTTTTAACTTTTTCATAAATTTTCATCATGGAAATTTTTACTAATTTTTGTAATTATTCTTGTAAACAAAAAATAATTATTTATTTCTAATTTATTAAATATATTAAAATTAATCAAATTATTATTACATATTTAAAAATTTCAAATCTTTTTTTAATTCAAACATTTTATATTTCAGTCTCAACTAAAGTAATGTTTAGTTCAGTTGGTGCAATTAAAGATCTTAGAGAAAAGGAGAACAACAGAAATAATATCGCAAAATCAAACAGGAGAAATTAGCAGAAGCATATAAAAATTGAAAAAAAAATTTTATTAAAAAAAAAATAAAAAAACAAAAAAAATAACATTAAATAAGCAAAGTGGTGATGAACAATAATTTTTATATACTACATAATTATAAATTTATATTTACTTACATATACATAGAAATGTATTGTATATTTATAAAACACTTTTTATATTATTAAGTATATAATGAAATTATATAGTGGAGATTTTATTTTGCATAACATAATTATTTATACTTAGATATAAAAACAAATATTAAAATAATTAAAATAAAAATGGTGAATATTAAAAATGGTAAGAATAAAGTGTTATATAATATTAACACAAGTATGTTATTAAATACTCCTATATATATTTTATATTTATGTAGTTAATTTTATATTATTTATTCTGTAAGACAATATTTTTTTTTCAATTTCATTACTTAAATATACAAATTAATAATATATATTGTTAAATTTTTGTTTAAAATTCCAATTTTTAAAAAAATATTTGTTTGTTTTTTATTTGAAACACTAGCTAGCTAGATTGACTGACTAGGCTATTCCAATAAAATATTTTTATTCGCTATGTATTCAAAATTATATGATTAATTTGTATTATGAAATGGAAAAGTATAGTTCTAGACCATACGAAGCTTATCGTACAATATTTACAAAATCATCAGAAAAAAAATCAGAAATTTGCACTTTGTACAATCATTATACCTGTACGAACGTATATTCGAAGGGTATACTAAATTTGCCTTACCGTTTGTAACGCTAAGAAATAACGGTGTTAGATATAGACTCAAGTGTATGTTTTTGATCAGCGTCAAATTCTGAGTTGATTTAGCTTTGTCTGTCCGTCCGTCCGTCCGTCCGAACGATAACTCAAAAACTAATTTAGCTAAGTTCACCAAATTTTCACAAATGATTTATTGTAGTAAGTGCCAGAACCCTATTTAAATTGGACATGATCGGGGTACCGGTTCGAGTAGCTGCCATACAACTTCAAAATTTATTTTTCTATATCTCAGAAACTATAAAAACTGTGATATTGAGATTTCACACAAGTGAATATATTAGTAGGGCCGATGTGCTTGATAAAATTCGCTAAAATTTCTTGGCTCTTTCTGGTAGGTGCCATACAACATCAATAGTAGTTTGGCACAACCAGTATTTTGAATAACACATAGTACTGAAATTTTGCATAAATTAATATGGTAATACGGCAACTTAAAGTCATAGTCTGCCCCATAGTTAGTTATGGCACATTAGTTATTCGCGCATAGGATAACAAATTCGTACGGGTATCACAGAGTTGACAAGGTCAACTCTATTTTTTTTCTCGTTTTTTTTAAATTTGTCGTAAAAAATATTATGAATGAAAAATTGACCTAGAAATTTGAAGAGCGTGACAGATTGGTCGATGCGACGATTCGCCAGATATCTAAAGAATTTGAATGTGATAGTTTATTTTAAAATAATGTCAATATCGTACAATGCAATATCGTATATAATACTGTTTTAAAAGAGCAAAAGCAACTACAGGTATAACTTCCCTGAGTTCGAGTATTATAAACAGTATACTCACATTTCACGTATACCAATTAACCGTAAAAAGGGTTAACTTGTACTTAAATTTTAACTTTCAGAACTATATATCAAGGATTTGCATATGTAAAAAAATTTATTATTAATCTTTCATTAATTATTTTATCACCATACCAAAATAAAATATTCACTTGAACGTAACACATTTTATTACCGCATAACTGATAAAAATTATCTCAACCCCCGTATTTTAGGCATAGATTTATCGCAGACATCTGTTGAAATTCTCAATTTGTAATATTTAAAAATTTACCTATTGTAAATTACATAATCGTATCATAAAATGTTAATTCTTTTTATTTTTGTCACTACGCATTCTTATAAATTTTATTGAACATTATTCTGGAAAATTCAACAAAAATTATTGCTTGTCATACAAAATATATAGTAATTTTAATTCAAATTAAATAATATACAATTTCATTTTAAAATTTGACTTTCCTGTAGCTTAGCCAGAAATTAGGCTATGTATACTAGGTACATAATTTATATTCACTTTAACTAAATAATTTATTAAAACTTGTTCACATAAATATTGCTCAAATAGTGATATATAAACATTCAAAACGAATTTAAAGGTAAAGTGGCAATAGGCGAGTCTGTCATCTCTGAAACATCAATCAAAAACAATTCTAAATAATATTGAATGTTGTAGTCAAAACTGCAATCTCAAATAAAAACGTTTGAACGTCTGGTTAAAAGATATGAAAAATTGCATTATTTCACACTCTGCACTTACAAATAGCTGACGTAGTTACTGTATTTACTTTTTTTTGAAAAACAACAATTTCGAACTTTGATTTATCAATATTATTTTATGTACATTAATTTTACTTACTAATTTTGCAAAGTTGAATTTCTAATTATTGAAAATACATAATTAGCAAAAAATACAACATAAAATGGTTTTTCATCTTCTCGAATATTTTAAATTCTTCTGTTGTCGTTACTGTTATTATACTGTTGTTTAATATGGAACAACAAGCGATTTTTAAATAGTGTGAGATTCTGATGAAGAATGATGTGAAAGCAGGAATTTTTGAGATAAAGATAAAAACGCAAGACTCCTCTTTTCTCTTAAAAGTCTCTTAACTTTTGTATAAGCAAAAGCTCTCATAATTTTTCTGTTCTAACTTCAACAATCGCACCTCGCGATTAACCGGAAAATCAAATCTTTCATTAAAATTTCACTTTAATTATAATCGTTTTTAATTAATATTGCACTAATAAATTATTTTATACAATCAATTAATTTAGACATTATTAAAGTATGACGTTAACTGGTACAAAAGCAATTTCTTTTTTATTTCATATATACTTATAAAAACCAACTTTCCTATTTTAATAACACTCAATTCACTCGCTCAATACCAATTTCTTTCAAATAAAAATCTTTTCGTAAAATTATTAAGAATCTATATTAATCTATAAAGCAAAGTTTATGACATACAGCACACACATACGAACAAAGGCTTTATAAAACTGTCACTTTCCAATCCTCAAACCACTTTTTAATGATATCACTCTCGTTTTATTGATTTATAACCGTATAACTATTTTTTTCTTCTTTTTCATCTTGATCATCTGACTTTGTTTTTGGAAGCATTTCTATTTGAAAATGCAAATCAATTCTAAAGAAAGAGAAAACACTGAAAATACCATCACACAAATAAAATCTGGGCTAAAATTAATTTTGTTTCTTTTTTTTTAATTTTATAGAAAAAAATACTTATAATGGTTATTGATACAAGGTTTCTCAATAAAGTATCGAATTCTACATAAGGACAATAAACAAATAGTCAGCAACAATGAGCAGCGAGCCGTTAAAACAGCAAAAAAAATAATAATAACGGAGAACTTTTTTATTTTATAATATCAAATTACACATTCCTATGGCTTTATCCACCCGTTCTGTCTAAATGTGAAAATTCGATTTTCAATCTCTTATTTGTTCGGATCTGCAAGTTTTTCTAAATTCCTACAAAACTGTTATATTAACTGCCTTAAATGTTCTTAAAATTTTAATTATTTCTCCTAAACGTATGCAATAATTTTTTCCATTCATAATATAATTTTGGTACATTAGTGATATCTTTCAAATAGCCTGTTCATGTTCCTGGTATGCAACTTTACAATTCATTTGTTTGATCCAAAATTTATTCGTTCCCTTTCTGAAGTATCCGTTCTCAAATTTCAATAGAGAATTCAATTCTCAATAGAGAAATTTCATTTTTACATTTATTTCTTATTTTTCTTTGAATTTTTTGAATTTTTAATATATTTTAATCTAAATATAAAATAACATTTCGTAAGTAACTTTACTGTTAGTCTAAAATAAATTGTTTCTTTAGAAGAACTTTTCTCCAAACCATTTTGTTTTATTTCCTCCTGAATATATGCAAAAAATAGTAAAATATACCTTTTACTCCAAAGATTTTTTGTTTTCCATTCAAATTACCAAGATTTTAAATTTAAAGACTTCACATTTTTTGCTGGAATACTCTTTACTATATAAGTGCCTCTTATCTTTACTATACAATAACGTTTGTAGAAAATATGGACAACAATATTCCAGAAATTGTTTTTATTTTTTTTTCTCAGTTTTTGCTTCTTTATTTGTTAATTGTTATACTTGTAACCGTCTAAAGAAATTATTGACTGGCAACTATTGATTTTTTTTAAGAAAACTATTTCAATACACTTGAAATGTACGATCGTTATTGGCAAGGCAAAATACTCACATAAAATGAGATTGTTTTTTTTTTCATTTTTAAAATAATAGCAAAAATTAAAATATGAAAAATAAATAAAAAGTAAAAAGAAATTTTTAAGAAAATTTCCAACGAAAAAAAAATTAAATACACCTAAAAAAAACAAAATCGATCTCATAAAAGCCGGAGATGTGACAAAAAAAAAATTTGTTCAATTTTTCTTCACTTGATTTTTTTATATTTTTTATTTTTTATTTTTAATTTCTTTACTTTTTCTTATGATTCTGTGATCTTAGTATGCCTCTATCATCTCCGGAATAATGTCAGTAATATCTTTGATTATCTATGGTTCAAACGCGTTCCAATGAGTTGTTGTCCAGTATAACATAATTATATTTTTTTTATATTAATTTAGATTTTCAATTTCCAAAGTCTTATATTAATTATTAATTTATTAAAAAGAAAATTAGTGAAATATAAAATAAAAGTTCAAATATTATCGAAAATCTTAGAATTAAATTAATTTTATGTGAAATTAAAAGAAAAGCATTTGAAATATTAAAAAAATTTTTTATTTTATAAAAAGTGTAAGTCTTATGTACTTGTGTATGATTAATCAATGATAAAATTTTGTGTTTCTAATTACGAGTATAGGAATTCAAAAATTTTATATATATATATATGTATATATACATGTTTAACTGTTATATTAATCAATAAAAACTGGTGAATCAAAATAAACGGTAAAATATCAAATATTTTACGCTTCAATAATTAAACTGTGAAAGTACTAAAGTGTGAAAAACTTAAGAAATATTTTATTATAACAAAAATTTTCTAAATTAGTTCATATTTCATGAAATATATACATAGAATATAGAGACCGGTAAATAAAATACGACCAAATTTAGATAGTTTACTTTTATGACTCTCATTCGTATTGTGTGCCCCAATTCAACTAAATTGCATATACTTTAATATGCATAAAACTGAAAAAAGTTTAAACTTATTTCTTAAATAACTACACAATAAAATTATGTAAAGAAAATCGCTTTCATTCCAAAAAAACAATTCTGTTTTGCCTTAAAATTAAATTTAATATTAAGCATTTCCACTTTTAAAAATTGAAACTATTTTTATATTAAAATGCCCACATTTGTTCTAAATATGAACGAATGGCAAAGTTGTTTTGTAAAATTTGTATAAGCAAATACGAGTACTATTGAATTAAGACTAGTTTGTAGCAATTATTGCAACTTAAACCATAAATAAGCACAAAAATCCTGTTTTATGTTACATGTTAACATTTACTTCCTGTTCTTAAGATTAAGCTCAATTCAGTAGCTCATGCCTTTAATTCGCCTTAAACTTATTACTAATTGTACTAAAATGCTCCCTAATTTAAATAATTTTTTATCAGAAATAATTTCGGCGCTGAAATTCTCAAATGTATGTGTTTTAACTTACAAAAACATGGAAAGATGGCCACATATACTACCACATATTCAAAAAAAAAACAATATAGCAAATACGCAACGCCGGATCTGCCATATATGAAAAGTAGCCGGAGAAAAATGTGAAATTAAATTATTTTAATTGAGAAATTAAAAAATAAAATTTTTAAACGCTTTTTAAAAGCCGCTTAGAGCGTCTAACAAGTAAGCACCGCATATGCGTGTGCTCAAACACTCAAAATTTCTCAAAAATAATAAAATCGAACCTAAAATCTGACCTTATCATAATTACTATTTACTAATTGAATGCTTTTATAATACAAAAAACCAAAGACAAGATATCTTTAAAAAATTTCGAAGTAAATCAAAAATATCTACAACACTCAATAAGTAAATATAGATGTACATAGTTTGAGCTACATAATACATATGCACATACATACAAAACCATTTTTAAATTTTAAAACAGAAAACCCAAACTATGGAATTGCATTTTATATAACATCCATAGAAATTGTCTATAATATTAACTAATTTTAAATTCGTAACAATTATTATAACTTTTCTCACGTAATTAAAAAAAAAAATAAAAATTATGAAAATTCATAAAAGGAAAAAGTAAAACGTTAAACAAACCAAGACCGCAAAAACAAAAAAAGGAACGAAAAGAAAAGCGTGAAAAATTCTTTTGAATTTATGATCAAAACTGTTACGTGCGCATAAATTTTCTTAATCTTCGAGAGTATCTATATACAATACATATATATATATATATATATATATATGCTTAATATTAAGAGAAAAATTTAAATGAAAAGAAAAGTGAAATGTAAATAGAAAATAATGAAAAAGGGCTGACAATACAAAATTGTCACTTTATGAATTTAAAAAAGAAAAAAAATAAAAAATAAAAAAAAAAGGTAGTTAAATAATGTAGGTGCTCGCTTATATTTCTTTAAAAAAGGTTGGAATTACTAGAAATGTTAAAATTTCATAATTCATGCAATAATCCACAGTATTTTCGAATTCATTTTTATGCAGCAACATTAAATTCGCGTAACAAAATTTCTACATCAATTCTTTTGGAAAAAAAGCACCAACTCCTGGTTATGGTTAGTTGTATATAATTTACAACACAATATCTCACGGAAGTACAATAATCTACTAGATCTCTTGTAAAATACTGGTTTAATAATCCCTAACTAAATCTGTCTGTAAATTCTATTCATGTCACTGAATTTTACTTCAATCTCTATAGTCGTATTACTATTAACTTTTACTATATTATTTTATTTTCTGACTTTCCCTAATCAACCATTCTAAATTAGCAAATATATAATATGTGCTAATTCAATTGTCGAATTACAAATTTATGATTCATATATACATATAATACAATAAAGCGTGAATGAGTAGGGTAAACCATATATCAATTCCGTGACACCCGTAAGAATGAATGATTTTAAGAATTCTATAATAATTGCCGCATTGTTTCATCCCCTTGCTTCTTTTTATATATAATAATGCCTTTTTATACACATACGTATGTGTCATTTACCAAATAAATTCAAAAATATTTAGCGAAAGCAATGGCCATTTTATTCATTTAAGCAAAATTTTAGAACTTTATAGCTTACTACAGTAAGCTTCACAGCACTACTGTATACCTGTATACTGTATAACTGTATACTGTACAGATAATGAAAGACATACTTAAAATTAACCGAATAGCCTCCAAAACATGTACAAAATATTTAACATAAAATATACTTTGAATCGAATCTCTATAATGAAACCTACCCGGAAAAATTAAAAAAAAAAGGAACTGAAAATTAGAAAAGGTTATTGTACAACAAATGGTGAGTACATAAAACAAAATTACAAACCTTTCAACTATCATATTTCAAACAAGGGTAGTGAATGAATAACTGCATATACACAGATATACATATATGCAGGTAGTACATAAATACCAACATGTCAACTTGCTTATTTAACAAAAAAAATAACAAAAATAGTTGGTAATACAAAAAAATTTATTCTTCTTTCTGTTTTCATATGAAATGCATACACGTGTGTGCATTATTTAGATAAGTGTGTAGATATATGTATGTACATATGTAATTTTTAACTTGCATTTTTTTGCGTTTTTACTTTTAAAATAATGTCTTTTGAGTTGAATGACCTTTCGTTACATTGATGGCTCTTCTTTTTTTAAATGCTGTTTGTCTCTCTTTAAAAACAAACTTTCTTTATCTTTTAAAGTAATAAATTAAATTGAAGTAAAGCAAGTCATTTTTGTCTTGAAATATTTTTTATTAAAATTTTTTGTTTCTCACATTAAATTTTAAAAATTAATTTATTTATCTATGTCAGGTTTTGTCAATTTTAATTTCCTCATATTGCATACATTTAGGACGAAAATAATAATTAAAAGAATTATACACGCGGCACATCGTTTTGAGCAAAATATAAAATATGCACGGTGCATTAAACTGTCAAAAAATTTTTTTACTTATATGTATAAGCGAATATCTTCGAGCTAATAAGCAAAATAAACCAAATTTTGTATGAAACAATGACTAAACTCACTAAACATTTTGCGCTCATAAAGGTAGTGTGCCAGGAAGCGGGCTGAAAATGTGGACAAAAAATTTCATGCCCTTAAAGCAGTCTTGTTTATATACGTATTGCAACTAAATTTATTCAGCTGTATAATAATATTTTCTGAAAGTTAAACATTTACCATTTTTTCCTTAAGTTTCTCAAAAAGAAATCATTAACTAAAAATTAAAATTTTAAAACCTATTTCGAATTAGGAACAAAATACAGAAAGGATTCATGAATCTTTAAAAATTGCTCCATTCAATTCTATATATTTTAACCCACTGATTACCTTCACACGAAAACCCGATGCTAAAATTATTTTTTAAATAATAAAATTGATATTTACTTGGGCGGGAAACTCTGTCAAAGTAACAGACAACTAAAGTCATAAAGAGTAATTTAAAACTTAATTTAAACATTTGATTCAATTCACTTATAAAACAGCTTATCTATTAATGTCTTATTTTTAATTATTAAAATTTAAAATACACAAATTATGAATTGATATTTCAAATTCTATTTTCTATTTCTTATTTTTTAATTACAGACTCATGCGTATAACAATTAGTTTAAAATTTCTCATATTATTCATATTATTTGAAAATGTAATTTTACAACAAATTAATAAAACAAAAAAATATTTTGATGAAATTGATAATGTGGCAACATCAACACAATCAACATTCACCAACAATGCCAATAACAATTATGATGACGATACCCTTAACACAAAACCACTACCTTCAAAATATAATAAAACAAATATAAAATTAATAAAACATAATAATTCGGAGGCTGTTAATTTTAATACTAATAGTAAAAATAATAATTTGAACGAAATAAATTTAATAAATAATAATAATTTTAGTACGAAAAATAATTTAACTTATTCTGAGCTACCTAAACCATTAAATTTTAATTCTAAATATAATAACAACAATAATAATAATAATAAAAAGAAAAATGATGATGACTATTATGATGATGATAATGACGATGATAATAATGGTGATGATGATGATTATGACGATAACAAATATAATAAAAATAAAAAATCAGTTGACAATCAAGAAAGTAAAAACTTAGATAATCTGCCAAATGAAGATATTTTTTCATTTCGACATTTCACTTCATTCTGGAGTTCAAATAAAAAAACAAAAACATCAAAAAGACCAACACTATTAAATGTTGCTTTACAAAATGCTGCACGTAAAGGTCTAGAAGCAATGACAATTCTTTATGAACAAACTGAACCGGAAATATTAAAAAGAAAACAAATTTTAAATGAAAATCATCCAGCAGCAAAATTAGCTAAATTTAATGGACCACATGATGATAATGTTTGGCCAATTGAAAGAGCTGCATACGCTACATTGGAGGCAACAAAAACATTTCAAAAAAGGTAAGAAATTCTCTATGTTATTTGATTTGATTTTTTTTGTTTTAAGAAAAACTCATTTCATTATGGATGTATGTGTAATTCTTATTCTAATTTGACGCCGATCTTTGTGTCATTTACCCTTTAAATGAAATTTCATGTACAAATGTTGACCATATAATTGATCGTTCATTCAAATCGTTACCATAATTTAAACTAACATTAATAGATAATTTTTTTTGGGTTTATGATAATTTAAATCAATAAAATTTATTTTATTCCACTTCTGAATCACTGATATACATCAAAAGACCTATGTATTAAATTTGCAAATCATTTTACAAGATAAGGTAACTTTGAAATGAAAATTTATAAAAAATGAGAAAAAATAAAGTTGATTGTGTCCCTTCGAACATACGTTCGTACGGGTAATTTCTTATTGCTGCTTAACAATACCACACTTTCAAAGTCTTAGATTCTACAGTTCTAAATTTGCATATTACAATAACCACAAAATTTATATAAAAACTTTAATATTCTTATAATGACATCATTTGATGACTTTCATAAAGTGCATGAACTGCATTTTTATTTTAAAAATTTATTTTATACTTTAGGGTGTTTAATAATTTTTTAGAATTTTTCTGTAATATGAAAAATATGAATTGCATACAAGAAGGTTGTATGTCTAAAATGAAAAATGAGAATTATAAAGCACAGAGTAGTTATAATAGAAAATTTTTAATATTTTGAAACTCTACGAGGAAGATGAAGACACACTTTCTAAGAGAATGTGTTGCTCTCACTCGCTAGAGAAGGGAAATAAGGAAAGTCTTTGCTCTAACAGGGGCGGAATTGCAGTATTCTGGCCTCACAAATTGCTCGAGCTAATCTGGACTGCGGATTTCGAGCAGGTAGTGGAGGAGTATGACTCGAATTCAGAAAGAAGCACTATAGATCCTGATACGCGGTGCACTAGTCACCTCAGCTTTAGAAATCTACAAATCTTAGAAATTATCAAGTAAATGCAAAAATTTATTGTATAAGTACATTTACCGTGTATTTCTTGAACAATTTTCTTCTTAACAATTAACTTTTCGAATTTTGGGTTAGGTCTATCGAAGATTTATTGATAATAATCTTCCCATTTTTAAAAGATTAAATATAAAAGATTGTATGCAAATAAATTTTTTTTTGGTAAAGAAAATACGCAAATTTTTCAAATTACCACTTTTTTTATTTTTTTTTTTCTAAATATACTTTGGATATCAACAAGTTTTCATCAAATAAAAATGATTTATATCTATATATTCACATATTAGCTCTGATATTAGCAAGAAATAAAATAAAAATAAAGAAATTTTAAAGCAGTAATAAAAAGCATTTTTACTGTACTAACATCAATCTCCTGCACAAAATATATACATACGCACATACATAAAAATTGCAAACATCTTGTACTCTCTTTATGCAACATATACATATATGCTTGTATATATATGTAGAAAATCGATTACAGAGATTAAGAAATGGCAAAAATTTCTCTTTTTCTTGTATAGATATAGTGTGTAACTTTTATACTATGGCGATATTCTGGTATATTGATTTACTTATACGAAAAAACGATAAAAAATTAAAGAAAATTTTACCGGTTAAATTATACGATAAAAATTACGATTACTTTCAATTGAAGTCCCTTCAATTTCATTCCAATTTCAAATAAGGTTGGGAACATTAAATTAAATTTTAATTATTATAATTTAATAAAATTTTATTTAAAAAGTTATATGATAACAGGTATTAATTTAGGTTTATATTTAAATTAAATTAAAACTGTGCAAATTATTAATTATCTTAAATATAAAAACGGGATTTTGCAGGTACATAAATTGTTTTTGCATATTTCTTTTTATTTTTTAATTAATGAATTTATTTTCATTTGTATTGAAATTAAACTTAAACTTTTATATTGAAATTTGAGAATTGAGTAACAAACAAAAGAGGTAACATCAATAACATTAATATAAAATAAATGTTCAGAAATACATATACATACATGTATGTATATGAAATATTCACAATAATTATTTCACAATTGCATAAAATCAATACACAAAAAAAAACGATAAAGGGAGAACAGCACTTAAAGCTTTTAAATTAATTTCTCGTATAATTTGATAAAATTATAACATATAATAATTACATTTTAAATTATATTACTATACAATTTAGTTCAATTAATAAATTATGAATAAAAATAACTAGTTTTAAAATTGGGAATAAAAAGTGCAGTTTTAGTTTACTTGACCGCCTTGAAACTTCTTCAATTAATTTAATATAAATTATTTATTATAATATACACTTTTATATTAAAAGTGTTATAATTACAAATTTTTCATTATCATTTTATTAATTTCCAGATTTTCCGTATATTTGTATATAACAGTTGAATACCTTGAAATGAAAAATAATATAGCTAACTATTTACGTACGCGTTATACATATAGTACACAATATTTGCGTGATTATTAAAATTATTATTTATTTACATTTTAATAATCAGTTGCCATAAATGTTTAAAAGTAAATACAAAATTTTGCATATTTATAGGAAAACTTAAAGAAAATTTTACTTTTATTTTACAACTTTGAAAATTTAACAAAATAAATGTTATTGTAATTTATATTGTGAATTAATTAAAATATTCTACATAAGTACATATACAAATTTAATATGATAACATTTTACAATATTGTAATAATTAAAATAAAAAAATATTCAAAAATTGTATCCAAAAAATGCAATGGAATTTTATTAACAATTTCAAATACCATAATCATCTATACTTACATTAAATCTATTTCCTATACAAGCGTTAATTGGTTTTGTATATATAGCGAAAATTATTTAATTATTTAACATTATTTATTCACATAGTGATAACGTGACTATATCTTTCATAATTATGAAAATTTCCGCTTAAATTGCATACGGTAGTTAAATAGATTGAATATTAAATTGAAGATATCATGATTAAATAACTATTCAATCGTGGTACCTTACAATGAGAATTACAAAATTTCATTTTTCATTTTACTAAAAATTTGATTTTATATGTACACATGTATGTATATACCAATTATGTGCATTTGAAAATAATTTATTATTCATATACAAATTAATTATATAATTATAAATAACATCGCATATCTCATTGTCTTGTTATAAAATTGTTCGAATATTTTGATTTTATAATTATGCACTTAAAATATTATTTGATCCACATCAAGTATCATCATCCACAAGATTATATAAGCTTTGTTTTCAAAATTTTGTCAATTGTTATTCAAATTTTGTAAATTCTTTTTTTTTTAAATTATGATTAATAGAATTAATCATTTTGGACATTTAAGATTATTTTTAAAATTAATAACTTATAAAGTTGTGATCGATAATGTCAAAAGCTGGTCGACATCAATATTATCTGATGAACACCAACCGGTAATCAACAATTTATGTTAAAAAAACTTTTGCATATAAATTTTCGTATACAAATTTAGCATGCAACGGATGGCATCTGCTTTAGCCACAAATTATTTTCGATACTTAAATGTTATTTCATAAAACATGGTAGGCAATTGACATTATTAATTATACGCGATTACAAAAATCAATGTTGACAACATGCTTTAATTAACTGCAATATCGAATAAGATGTAAAAGAACTCAACGCGCATTTTACATTGTCGATTACACCTTAATATTGTCGTTTTTAACCAATTTACTCAATTAGAAAATTGCAAATAATATTTTGTTTAAAAATATGTATAATGGACGGCATTGATTCAGGAAAGATTAGGCGTGAACATAATACGGTAACAGAAAACGATGATTTAATAAAATCAATATTACTAGATGAGCTTAATGTGTCGGTTTATCTCAAATATCTTGTCTTTTAAACCATCGATGCTTAACTTTTTTGGAGCTTGCATTGTTTATGTTATTCAGTATTCGAAATTCATTGAAACACTTTTACAATTTCATAGTGTACATATTCAATTAAAAAATACTTTTATTAAAATTTTTAAAATGCCAACTAGTTTGATTTAATCTGGCGTACGCCCTGACAATTCTACACTATATGTTCACAATAAATTAACAATATTTTTAAATTTCACAATATCTTACATTGTGACACTATTATCAATTAAATTGATTCAATTCTAATGAGCACATATACCTATACCTATTCAATTCTATTACTTTAATAACCTTCTTTATATGTACACCATTTATTTATGTTCGTATTTGGAACCAAATTCAATTTTAAAATAAAAATTTCATACAATTGAAAGTGTAATAATAACCCAATTATATCAATTTAAATATTATGGTCAAACCATACAAGATGGCCATAGATTTGAAAAATCAAAATAACAATTTAAAAATTAATTTCACGTCCAAATTTATTTTTATATAAGAAAATAAAAAAGACAAAGAATATAAGCAAATAATAAGCAACATGTTAAAATAATTAAATATATATATATTTTAAGATATGTATATATATTGCGCTTTTTGTACGTACATATGTAAATTAATGCAAATATACACACAGAAAATTAAACAAATTATATGAATAAAAATTATACATATGCAAAAGTTTTCAATTTAAAAACTATTTACCGCATAGAGTGTTAAAGTTTTTCAATTATAAAACCAAAAAATTGCATTTCTAAAAAATTTTTATACTACATTATGCAAAATATGCAGTAAATCGTAATATTTACATTTATATGCAAATATTAAACATTCAAATTCATTAACGTTTCTAACAAAAAATATTAATATAATTAAAACCTGAAAAATCTAATTCAATGCGCTATACATAGGTATATGTAGACTTGATTTTCATAAATTAAAAATTGACAAATTCATAAGTTCTTCAAACTAGATTATCAATTGGAATCAACTTTTATTCTTATTTATACATGTAAACATACTCGGTAAATGCAACTATTCCA